AAACACAGCACAAAATTAAGTGATCGCTTAATTCAGTGTTCAGAAAGTTCTTACCAAAAGAGTTTTTGAACTGTTTTTTAATTAGTGCCAGAACAGAGAAGCTTTTATTTGCAGTAACTAATGGGACATATTTTGCTTCCAGTAAATAAATATATGCAAATTAAAAGTAGTTCAAGAAAAACTACTTAAATAGTTACATATGTGTGCCTATACATTTATTCAGATACTTTAAAACTTATTTGTAAATATCAGTCAATGTTAAAATAATTTAAAAGAGGTTTAAAAGCATCTTCTGAAAACATGTAACATGGAGCAACTAAAACTCATAGGAGAAATTGAGAACCTGATTGAATAGTTTTGTTACAGACATTTCAGTGGGAAGCAGCATTCACCATCTCCTTCTTGTGCCTGCCAAATGAGTATTATTTCATATAGAAACTTCAAAAACTGCAAAAAAAAAATCCTAGTTGAAAGGGATGTACCCCTAATCATTCCAGTCCATTAACTCATCAAGCCAATTCTTGAGTCTCCCCTCTGTCCTCCACCTATGCCATTAATTTCTTTGGATGTTGAGAGATAACCTTTCCTCTAGATTTTATTTCATTAATTTGGAATGGAAAAGTTGTAGGTCACACACTTTTTTGCTTTTTGGTAAAGATATGGAATGTACCAATAACGTTGGCTCTGAAACATGTAGCAAATTGAAGTTCCTTTGTATAGCCCTTTAAAGAGTTTTTCTAAATTGCAATCTCTGTCAAATCATCACCAATTTATACAGATAGTTCTTGTCTTATGGCCACAATTGGAACAAAAAACAAGGTGGTTGTTAAATGAGTTGTGCCCAGTTTTACAACCTTTTTGAATAATGCAGTCATTAAACTAATCCAGTTTCCTGCATTGACTTTGCTTGTCATAAGCCAGCTTGCAAATGGCAATCATATCACACTGGGCCATTGCCACCATTGTAAATACATGCTGGTCTCAGATCCAGCAGCTTCCTTACCTCCAGGAATTTCCCTCCCAAAACGTGATTGTAGATGTTATCTTTCAGCAAATCTGTATGTATCCTATGTGTAGTTCCCTAAAACATAATTATATATGCATAAGATTTCTTTTTTTTTTTCTTTTTTTTTTTCTTTTAAATTTTTATTGAAAATTATTAAAAAATACAGAAAAAAATATAATAATATGGATAGAATTGCAGAGAGTAATATAATACTATGGGAACTTACTTTCATAGTTGGTGGACCTGTCCCCGAGCAAAAGAATATTGGGCTAGAATTCAAAAATGGATTTTAGAAATCATAGGATGTAGAATAGATTTGAACCCGGAAACGTTTTTACTAGGCATGAAACCAGAGAATTTAAACAAATCTAATTGGTATCTCGCTCTCCACATCATCATTGCAGCCAGGATCTCGTTCACGCAAGAATGGAAATCTAAAAATATGCATAAGATTTCCAGAAACTTGCAAAATAACTGTAACTCTCAAACAATCAATTACCAAACATTAAATATTTGTGTGGGAGCTGGCATCCCTGGTGAAAGGAAAGCGCTTTGTCATGCAGGAGCGGGAGCCATCCTCAGTGAAAGGGAAGTGCTTGCGGGCTGCTGAAATGTGGACAGCCTGCGGGGCAAGACGGGACCGTCTTTCCCTGCACGGTGACCGCATTGCAGCCTGGGGGCCCGCCATGAAGTTGTTGTAGATCAGTGTGTAGTAGAGCTCCAGCAGCAGTACCACGCCCACTACCAGCACCTCCACTGCCTCCGTGGTCACCCTACCCTGCCTCCTGCCCCTGTGCGGGAAAGCCATGGCCACCAACAGTATTGCCACACTCTCCCCTTCCCATCATCCCTTCCTGGGCATGGAGAGAGGGAGGAAGGAGATGGGAATGAGAAGGAAGGAGGCAGGGAAGGAAGGAGGGGGACGATGGAAGGAGGGAGGGAGGGAGATTGGAATGAGGGAAGGACAGTCTGAGGGAAGTCCTGCCTTATCACTTGGCCATTAGCAGCCAGGGTGGATAAAAATCAATGATTTTTTTTAAAAAATCAAAAAAATCAGATTTTTTTATTTAAATCGGATTTTTTTGATTTAAATTGGATTTTTTTGATTTTTATAGAATTTATTTTAATAAAAAACTTTTGGGGTAAAAATCTATCGTAAGATAGTTTTCTATTTAAGGTACATAAATAATTTAGTTTATTCAGCATGAAATGGAGCTTAGTTATGAAGCATGAAGCTGTATATTCTGCAACACTGGGACTATCGGTGAGTCAACAATGGGTCAAAGGAGTAGCAGAGATGACAGTTGCTCTTTAAAAATTATGATTTAAATCAAGTTGATTTAAATCAAGCCTTTTTACTAGTGATTTAAATCATGATTTAAATTGTGATTTAAATCAACTCGATTTAAATCAAATCCACCCTGCTAGCAGCCCTGCTGCCCTTTTGCCATCCCCTTGTCCCATCCTCCTGGGCTCTCCTGGTGGTCTCCCATCTTATCACTGAGGGTACTTTGCTTACAAAGCTGGATCTCCTCACATAGAGAGGGAGTGGGCCTCCTCTGACCTCTCACTTTGCCCACCGTGAGCAACTTGGCCAAGGAAAGTGAGCACAGAAGCAGCAACAGCCTTGAGAAGGTAAGCGTGGCTGGATGCCCCCTCGGGGAAGCATGGCCTGGCTGGGCTGCAGGGTCCCGATGCCCTGAGAGCTTGAGGGCTGGGCTGGGGGCTTGCCCTCTGCTGCCCAGGGCTCCGGGCAGCCTGTGCCACCATCTGAGGGTCCCCCACATGGCCTGAGAGGTATGGTGAGGTTCTAGTGAATGAGGCTTTGGCGTTCGCCCTGGTCTCACCTTCCTCCACTGGAAACTTCCGACCAGCCTTGCCTGGTCCCCCCACAGGAGGTGGAGGATGGACACTGCTGCATGTGGAAGCTTGGAGGAGAAAGTTTGCTGGAAGCAGTTTTCTCCGAGTCCAACTTCTGCCTTGACAGATGTCTGGAGAGGAGGAGGGGGTGGTGTGGGAGCTGCGTGAGGGAAGGCTGCCACAACAAGCCAGCATCCTTACAACACATGGTTGGAAATGGGGATTCCCTTTCGAGAAGGGCCAGCTTTCCTTGTGCAGGACCAGGGAGCACTGATCCCATGCCTCCTCCTCTTGCTCTTTAGAGATCTGTTAAAGCAGAAGTTGGACTCAGAGGCAACTGCTTCCTGCAAACTTTCTCCTCCGCGCTTCCACATGCAGCAACTTTGTCCTCTGCTTCCTGCTTTGCTGGGAGGGAGCACCGGACTGGGAAATGCCAATGATATCTGGGATTGGGAGAAGAATGTCTCCTTCGGCATGCTGTGCCAAAGGCACTCCATTCCAAGCTTGGAGACTTTTATCCACATCTGTGTCATGGCCCCATCGGAGCCTGAATCTGAGGAGGAAGATGAGGCAGAGCTAGGGCCAATGGAGGAACGACCAGAGGGAGATGAGGCAGTCCTGGGCCCCTCGGGCCTGGGAAGGGTCGTTGGCAAGGGAGAGGGGACGCAGGAGAACAAGCCGAGGGGGGAGGGCAGGGCAGGCAGAGGAGCAATTACCTCCCCCCTGATTCCCCAGCATGAAGAATGGACAGGAGGAGGGATCAGCACAGGGCAACCCGAGGATGAGGGCACCCTGCCCTTCTTCACAAGGCACTTCTTCATTTGGGGAATGAGATTTAAAGAGAAGCTGTTGGGTGGGATGTTTGTCAGGAACAAGTGTTGAATCCATGGAGCCTCATGTGCTGTTGCTGACGTCTGGATTTTGTTGTGCATTGTCTTGTATGCCTTGCCCTATTTGCCTGTCTCACTGGACAGTCTTGGTTGCTGCTTGCTAACTTTGCTTGCTGAACTATTCGCAGCCAGAGGCTGTCAGAGGTGTGTGTGAGAGCTTTGCTCCAGGACTTGCAATAAACGTGGGGATGTTTGGGGGAAAGTTGGAGCAATAAGGGGAGTTAGAACTGTTCTCTGGCTGTGTTGCTTCAGTGCCTCGCACCGGGTCGTCATAATCTGAGCTTGCAAACTGCCAATCATGACTGGGTTTGGGGGGAAGGCCCTTTCCTTCCTTCCGTCAAGCCAGCCACCCCAACCCAGCCACGCCCACCTAGTTGCAGCAACCTGGCTGTTACCACCAGCCACATCCACCTGGCCTCTGTGAGTCGTCCTAGTCTTACATGCAACTGGCTCTTTGAGGGCAACCATATTGCTGTTGCGCCCTCAATGAAATTGAGTTTGACACCCCTGACTTAGTACAGGTAGTCCTCGACTTACAACAGTTCATTTAGTGTCCATTCGAAGTTACAACAGCACTGAAAAAAGTGATTTATGACCATTTTTCACACTTATGACTGTTGTAGCATCCCTCTGGTCATGTGATTTACATTTGGATACTTGAGAACTGATTCATATTTATGACCGTTGGCTGTGTCCCAGGGTCATGTGATCACCTTTTGTGGCTTTCTGACAAGCGAAGTCAATGGGAAAGCCAGATTTACTTAATAAATGTGGCAAGAAAAGTTGTAAAATGGGGTAAAACTCACTTAACAAATTTCTCATTTAGCAACATAAATTTTGGGCTCAATTATCGTCACTTGAGGACTATCTGTATGTCTGTAAATAATTTATTTTTATACTGATTGAACTTCATTCAATCACAGTGACAGGCAACAATTTTTTAACTTATTGAGACATCCTTAAGCTCCTTTGTAACTTTGATTTGAGTAATGAATAATTATTGGGGAATTTTAGGAAGGTAAATTTAATGTCTTTCTGTAATTATTTGAAATGTGAAGTTTTTCTGCTTGAATCATTTGCTAATTTTTGGAGACCAAATAACCTTGTTTAATCTATTGTAATGGCCACTGAGAAATGGCATTTCTTATGGCATTTTTTTAACTATGGAAAGCATAAATACAAGATTCATTCTGCCTTTTGTTTTACTACTTCTCTCTTTACTAATTAATGTAACTTTTTTTAAGGGAAGTAACATTGACTCTGAAGCTGTTAAAGGCGAAGTATTAAAAATTGGAAACAAGAGTTGTGAGAACATCACTTTGAAGTTGCAGTCTGTTTCTTGTACCATTCCTAAGGAGCTGCTCAAAACCAACCATGAATTAAATATAGTGGTAGGATATTTATCTTTACATATATGATTCAGCTTTAAATGTCACCATTTTTACTAACAATACCTACTGCTCTGCATTTCTAGTTGGTTTTATATGTTCATTCTGTCTTTGATTTATGTATTAAGTGAGTAGCAGCAACATTTAAAATGGGAAGTACTTAGTTTTTACATTCTTACCTGGTTTGAACCAATCATTTGGTTCATACTGTATTTCTGCATTTCTTTTTCAAATATATAATTATAGCTGTTATTATTAATTATATTTTTTCTTTTTTTAAGTATTTTTAGCAATTCATAAATATATATACGCTTTCATAAATATTTTACTTAACTATTAATGCAATCTTATAGGAAAATATTTCCCCTATGACAACATCAGCTAAAGATATGAATTGGAAATCTGTCTGCAGCTCAGAATCAAATTTGCAACCATAACTTGGCATTTTAAATTGTGGATAAAGTTTGAGCTTTGGCTTTTAATAATCCTTATTATTTCCATAATTCTTTCTCTGTCTATACATATTTCAAAAAGAAATGTAGAAATATACAGTTTGATTCTGCAAATATTTTCATGATTAAAAATTTGCTTTTATTAGCTAAGCACCCTCCTTGTTTAGATCATGGTTACATTTACATTGCGAATATTGAAAGACGAGTCTTCCAATATTGAAAGAGGTGATTTACAAGGATGAGTGAGTGTGTGTGTATTTGAAATATTAGATATATGGATCTAAGTCAATATGAAGCATGCCAAACTGAATACCTTAGGAATAAGTGAAGATAGATGAATTGGAATGGAACAATTAATTTCATATTATTATAGATTATTCATGGCATGTCTGTACAATGGAATAGAGTGGGAGTAATATTCAATAAAATATACTAAGTACTATATGAGCTTGACTATAACTTAGTAAACAATAGGATCTCAACTGATAAAAATAGTGGATATCCAGGAAGAATCAGTACAAAGATGTGTACCTATCAGGAATCACAGAATTATAGGTCTGAAAGGGACCTTGGAGGTCTTCTAGTCCAACCCCTTGCCCAATTATTGCATCCTGGGCAAATTGCAGTCCAGTCTTTTTTTGAAGACTTACAGTGATGGAGCATCCCTAACTCTGGGTGGCAATCTGTTCCATTGATTAATTATTCTAACTTTCAGGAAATTTCTCCTTAGTTCCAGCTTGGATCTTTTTTTGTCTTGCCCTCAGGTGCTTTGGAGAATACGTCAATCCTCTTATGCCTGTGACAGCCAAAAACACTGGAAGACAGTTCTTATGTTACTTCTAGTTCTTCTCTTTGTTAGCCTAGGCATATCTAGTTCCTTAACCATTCACCATACAATTCAGCCTCTAGATCGGGGTGTCAAACTCAAGGCCCATGGGCCGGCTCTGGCCTGCGGGGTGCTTAAATCTGGCCCATGGGTCCGGCCTGGAAAGAGCAAAGGACCAGCCCACTGTGCCTTTGGCAGCTAAAAAGGGGCACAGGGGGCACACTCGCCCCCCCGTGCCCTGTTTTCAGTCTGGGTGGCCTCTTGCTGGCCAAAACAGGGTGCAGGGTAGCCACATGAGGGCCCTGCCCCCATTTTTGGCCTGGACGGCCTTCTGCAACACTCTGCCGGCCAAAATGGGGAATGGGGGGGGGCATGAGTCCCTCCTGCATCCTGTTTTCGGCCTCGACAGCCTCCTGCAGCACTTTGCGGCCAAAATGGGGCGTTTTGGCCAGCAGGGTGCTGCAGGAGGCATCCATCCCATCCCCCCCCCGGCCCGCGGAGGAGAACTACACAATGTGATCTGGCCTTCAAAGAAATCCAGTTTGACACACCTTATCATCCCTAATCATCTTTGTTGCTCTTCTCTACACCCTTTCTAGCAGCTCTGTGTTTTTGTTTTTGTTTTTTGTGTCGTGGTAACCAAAACTGGACACATAGTTCCAAGTGTGGCCTCACTAGTGCAGTGTAGAACAGTACTCTCTTTCTTGTGTTTTTGATGCTATTCCTCTATTGATCCAGTCTAGGACTGCATTGGCTTTTTTGGCAACTCCAGTACACTGCTGGCTCATACTTAAGTAATGGTCTACTAGGATACCTAGATCCAGGACTGAAATCTAAAAATTTTCCCTACCAGTTCTGTGGGCGTGGCTTAATTGGTGGGCATGGCTTGGTGGTCAGGTGACCCAGTGGCCGTGGCTTGGTGGGCATGGTGACTGGGTGGGCATGGCCAATAATAATAAATAATAAAAATAATAAACAAAGTACACAAAACAATAAGAGGTACCAAAAACCAACTTCCACATTTTACACACACACAACACAACATAACACAACTGACACACACACAATGTAAAAGCACTTCATCCAAAATGGCCCCTGCAAAAGCAGGAACCTCACAGAGGCATAAAAAGCTCAAAAACCAACTTTCACACTTTACACACACAGTACACAACACAACACAACTGACTCACACACAATTAAAAGAGCCTGTAGTACAGTGGACTAAAGCACTGTTATTAACTTTATTTATTTGTTTAATTTTATTTGTTTAAATTTCTATACCGCCCTTCTCCAATGTAGGACTCAGGGCGGTGAACAGCCAAAGTAAAAACATACATACAAAACATACAAAATCTAAAAACTGTTTAAAATAATTAAATAATTTTGGCCGTAATTAAAACATTCCAATTTAAAATCCATTTAAAATTTGACTCAAGCCAGCCCAGCTAGTTGAAATAAATGGGTTTTTAGGGCCCGACGAAAAATCCGGAGGTCTGTTATTGTACGTAGCTCTGGGGGGAGGTTGTTCCAGAGGGCGGGCGCCGCCACAGAGAAGGCTCTCCCCCTGGGGGTCGCCAGCCGACATTGTCTGGCGGACGGCACCCTGAGGAGGCCCACTCTGTGGGAGCGTACTGGCCGGTGGGAGGCTATTGGTGGCAGAAGGCGGTCTCGTAAGTACCCCGGCCCTAAGCCATGGAGCGCTTTAAAGGTGGTCACCAACACCTTGAAGCGCACCCGGAAGACCACCGGGAGCCAGTGCAGCTCGCGCAGGAGAGGTGTCACGTGGGAGCGCCTCGTCACCCCCAAAATCCCCCACGCGGCCGCGTTCTGGACCAGCTGGAGCCTCCGGGTGCACCCCAGGGGGAGCCCCATGTAGAGAGCGTTGCAGTAGTCCAGGCGGGAAGTGACGAGTGCCTGAGTGACTGTGCGTAGGGAGTCCCGATCTGGAAAGGGGCGCAACTGGCGTATCAGGCGGACCTGATAAAAAGCCCCCCTGGCCACGGCCGCCAAATGATCTTCTAACGACAGCCGTGCGTCCAGGAGGACGCCCAAGTTACGAGCCCTCTCCGTGGGGGCGAGTGATTCGCCCCCAATAGCCAGCGATGGCGTCAGCTGGCTATATCGGGACGCCGGAAGCCACAGCCACTCGGTCTTGGGGGGGTTGAGTTGGAGCCTGTTTCTCCCCATCCAGGCCCGCACGGCCTCCAGGCACTGGGACATCACTTTAAGGGCATCATTGGGGTGGCCTGGGGTGGAGATGTACAGCTGGGTGTCATCAGCGTACTGATGGAACTCCACCCCGAAGCCACGGATGATCTCACCCAGCGGCTTTACATAAATGTTGAACAGAAGGGGCGAGAGGACCGACCCTTGTGGCACCCCACAAGCAAGGTGCCTCGGGGTCGACCGCTGCCCCCCTGTCAACACAGATTGCGACCGGTCAGAGAGGTAGGAGGAGAACCACCGCAAAACGGTGCCTCCCACCCCCAACCCCGCCAACCGGTGCAACATGATACCATGGTCGATGGTATCAAAAGCCGCTGAGAGGTCTAACAGGACCAGGATAGAGGAGCAACCCCTATCCCGGGCCCTCCAGAGATCATCCACCAATGCGACCAATGCCGTTTCCGTGCTGTGCCCAGGCCGGAAGCCGGACTGGAGCGGGTCTAGATAGACAGCTTCATCCAGGTACCGGGGAAGCTGTTGCGCCACCACACTCTCAACAACCTTCGCAATGAAGCGAAGGTTGGAGACTGGACGATAGTTAGCCAAAACAGCCGGATCCAGAGAAGGCTTCTTGAGGAGGGGCCTCACCACCGCTTCTTTCAAAGCGGCCGGCAGGACCCCCTCACTCAAAGAAGCGTTAACAATCTTCTGGAGCCAGCCTCGTGTCACCTCCCGGGAAGCCAGTACCAACCAGGAGGGACACGGGTCCAATAAACATGTGGTCGCGTTCAGCCGTCCCAGGACCCTGTCCATGTCCTCGGGAGCCACAGGATCGAACTCCCCCCAGATAACACTCTCAAGACCTGCCTCAGTCATCCCGTCTGGACATACCCAGTCAGAGGCCAGCCCTTCCCGAATCTGAGCAATTTTGTCATACAGATATTGCACAAAATCCTCAGCTCGACCCTGCAAGGGGTCATCCCGCACTTCCAGATGGAGGAGGGAGCGGGTCACCCTAAACAGGGCGGCCGGGCGATTATCTGATGACGCGATAAGAGCGGCAAAATAGCTAGTTTTCGCCGCTTTTATCACCACTAGGTAGGTCTTAATATGAGACCTCACCAGTGTTCGGTCAGGTTCGGAGCGGCTGGTCCTCCAACTACTCTCCAGGCGTCTTTTCCGGCGCTTCATCTCCCTAAGCTCCTCGGAAAACCAAGGAGCTAGGTGAGTTTGGTGCCGGGTCAGAGGCCGCAAAGGCACGACTCGGTCCAAGGCCCCGGCAACCGCACTATCCCAGGCGGCCACCAGGTCTTCAGCCGAGTCATGAGCCAGAATCTCAGGAAATGGCCCAAGCTCCATCTGGAACCTATCAGGGTCCATCAGGCGCCTGGGGCGGAACCACCTGGTCGGTCCCGCCTCCCTGCGGCAGGGTGCAGCGGTTAGAAAGTCCAGTCGAAGGAGCAAGTGGTCAGACCATGACAAGGGTTCGATGGCTATATCCCCTATATCAAGGCCACTCAACCACTGACCAGAGACAAAAACTAAGTCCAGAGTGTGTCCTCCTGTGTGAGTGGGGTCATGAATTAACTGAGTAAGGTCCATGGCCGTCATGGAAGCCATGAACTCTCGAGCCACCTCAGACGTTTCACCGATAGATGGCAGGTTGAAATCCCCCATGATGGCAAGTCTGGGGGTGCCCACCGCCACCTCGGCTATAACGTTAAGGAGCTCGGGCAGGGCCGTTGCCACGTGGCAGGGAGCCAGGTACGTGACCAACAGGCCCATCTGTACTCCACGACCCCACTTCACAAAGAGGGACTCACATCCGGCTATCTGTGAAACAGTGGTCTCCCTTGGATCCAGACCTTCCTTTATAATAACCGCCACCCCCCGCCCCTGCCCTGAGCCCTCGGCTGATGAAATGCACGGAAGCCTGGTGGGCATATATCCACGAGGGGGACTCCCCCCTCCTGGCCCAACCAGGTCTCCGTAATGCCCGCCAGGTCCGCCTCCCCCTCCTGAATAAGATCGTGAATGAGGGGGGCTTTATTAACAACGGACCTGCCGTTGCACAACATCAGCCGGAGGCTCTGGCCCTGAGAATCTGAACAACCTGGGGAACAAGAAAAGCATTGGGGACCGGAATGCGCAATCGCTCTAAGATAGCGAGTGCGCATTCCCCGCACATGATATGGTCCCCAGCTTCCGCCATATCTGCCCCTCCCACTCACTGTGCTGATGGAACAGCCCTCTTCAAATCGAACTCCAACCCCCTCCCCGACCTCCGGTTCTACGTCCCTAATGTCGCAGCCCTTCGCTAAGGCTGGTCTTGAACCCGGTGGATTTCCCCCAGAACCCACCCTAATCCCCCCCCGAACCCCTTAAAATTTTTGTTAAAAACTCACTAAAAAACCCACTTAAAAAACCCCTCAAACTCTTCTTAGCCGCATGCCATCTCTCGGGGCTCCAACGCCCATCATCAAGATAGGCCCTCGATAACGAAGAGGGCCAGACCTGCGAGAGGGGGGAGTCTCGCAGGGCACGAAGGTCATTCACCGAGTACATCAAAGATCAAAGGGAGGTGATAGTCCATGGCCAATAACCAGGGGCCAATTTGATGTTATCACAGTCAGAAGGAGTGAAATGCCAGGCTTCAATAGAGTTCCAATGGAGCATGTGAGACCTCAGTGCCCTCTCACGGCAATGGCGGGAGTAAAATGCTGTTTCGGTCCGGCAGAGGGTGACCCAGCCCTCCTCTCACGGCTGGTCAACCACGATCGTCCAAAAAGCCGGAGTTGAGACAGCAGCTATAGACCCACTCCACCAAGACTTGAATCCCCAGATGTAAACCTCCATTCAACGGAGGGGAACAATGGGGTCAGGTCAGTCCACATAGTCCAGACAGGCTCAGACAGCGGAGATCATAACCGTCATTACCTCCGGGGAGGTCAAGATGGCATCTAGACCCGGAGATGATTGTTCAGCAGGCATACACGGCATGGCATCACCACATTCAGGGGGATGGGGGTGAAAAAGGAGAGCAGAGGCAACAAATGCCATAGGGGGGAAAACCCCTCAGTCATAGTCCAGCTCTCCCCAACCCCTCCCGGATCTTCCTTGGGACCATGCTGCTTGCCTCGTCCAGCCTCGCCCAGCCTCCATAAATCCTCATGGAGGCCTCTGGGACGACCAAGGGGCCAAATAACGCCCCACGGTCGCCCAGGAGATCCAACAAAGCAAGCCAGACACATTAACAACTGCTGCTTGCAATTACTGCAAGTTCAAATCTCACCAGGCTCAAGGTTGACTCAGCCTTCCATCCTTTCAAAGGTAGGCGAAATGAGGACCCAGATTGTGGGGGCAATAAGCTGACTTTGTATAAATATACAAAAGTATGAAGGCTATTGCTTAATGCATTGTAAGCCGCCTTGAGTCTCCGGAGAAGGGCGGCATATAAATTAAAGCAAAAAAAAAAAAATTGTAAAAGTATCTGCACTTCATCCAAAATAGCCCCTGCAAAAGCAGGAACCTCACACAGCCACAAAAAGCTCAAAAACCAACTTTCACACTTTTTCCACACAAAATGCCACATACAGCTTTGTGAGATTTTGTGTGTTTGTGTAGTTAGAGTGAAACACTACAGAAACATCAAATCTCAGAAAGCTGCACAATTATTTTATTTTATTTTATTATTTTATTTATATTTTTAGATAAAAGCAGCTAAATTTAAAACTTCTTAACTTTAAATTGCTATGTCTAAAACAAATAATAAAACTCCTAAAAAAAACCCAATTAACTATTTTTTTAAAGCTCCCCCACCCCACCCAAAACAACCCAGTTACTTACCAAATTGAAGGCACAAGGCAGACAGATTGAGTTGCTCACCGATTGGATTGATTGCAGGCAGGCAGATTGAGTTGCTAGCTGATGCAATTGATTGCAGCAGCTTAAGCAAGGCAAGAAAAGCGAGTGAGCATAAAAGAAGCAGCAAGCTGGCAAGTGGGGACCGGGTGATTGGGTGGGCACAGGTGGGTGGGCAGGGATTTTTGCTACTGGTTCTCCGAACTACCTGCCTCCATCGCAACTAGATCGCCTGAACCGGGAGCATTTCACCCCTGCCTAGATCCCTCTCAAAATTACTACTATTGAACCAGGTAGCACCTATTTTGTATCTGTACATCTGTTTTTTTTCCTGCCTAAGTTCAGGACCTTACTTTTTTTCCCACTGAACTGCATCTTGTTGGATAGGGCCCAATGCTGAAGTCTATCAAGATCTTTCTGAGTCTTGCGTCCATTTCTCAAAGTGTTGGCAATTCTTCCCAGTTGATGAGTTCCCCTTCTATCCCCTCATCTAGATCATTTATCAAGATGTTGAAGAGTACTAGGCTCAAGACAGAACCTTGAGATACCCCATGGCATGCTTCCTTCTATGTAGATATAGTTCCATTAAGACTACATGCTGAGTATGGTTGGTCAGTCAACTATGAATCCATCTGGTGATGCTCCTGTCCATCCCATATTGTTCTATCTTACCAAAATGTAGCCTGTGGTTTACTTTATCAAATGCCTTACTGAAGTCCAAGTAAAGTATATCCACAGCATTTCGCTGATCCACTAATTTAGTCACTTTATCAAAGAAGGCAGTAAAGTTTGTCTGACATGTTTTGCTTTTAACAAACCATGCTGGCTTCTAGTGGTTGTTTTGTTCATTTCTAAGTGCTCACAAATCTCCTGTAGATTATCTTTTCCAGAATTTTCCCAGGTAATGATGTTAGGTTGATTAATCTCGAGTTTCCTGGATCCACTTTTTTCCCTTCCTGAATATTGGAATGAAATCAGTTCTTTTCTAATTCTCTGGCAGTTCCCTCCTGCTCCAGGAGCTCTGAAAGATTTTGTTCAATGGTTCTGAGATCACATCAGCCAGCATTTTCAGTATTTAGGGTGTAAATCAATCTGGTCTGGCAGTTTGAACTTGTCTAAAAGGACACAATGATAGAATGAATTCTATGGAAAATTGCAAAAAACATTAAATGGAATACTAGGAATGGTATAATATTTTTCTTGGATTATCAGAATGGCAAAATTCTGGAAGAACCTCTGTTTACAAGATTTATTTATTTATTTTATTGTACTTATATGCCACCGAGGGACTCAGGGCGGCTTACAAAAGTTAAGACAATGAAAGCAATAAAAATAACTATATCAATTTAAAATCCATCTAATTAAAAACCACCCACCAGATCAGCAAATTTGTTGGAAAAGCCATGTCTTCAGCTCTCGGCGGAAAGAGCGGAGGTTGGGGGCCGTCCGAAGCTCCATGGGTAACCCATTCCAGAGGGTCGGTGCGCCCACAAGATGATTTGATTATGTCATGTTACTGCCCCCTTAACTCCAACATATATTTTTCTAGGATTGTGTATCTTCTGTAAGGTTCTGCCAACAGGATACAACAAGAAGTACATACTTTAGATAGGAAGCATCTTTCCCACTTCAGATGCTAATACTGCGCACCTCTAACCAAGCCCAGAATAGTTCAAAGCAATGGCTTTTTGTGATAAAAGTATGTCTGCAGAAACTGGCATTGAGAAAGCAAGAGCACGAGAAGATAGATGCCTTTGAATTGTGGCTATGGAGATAGTACGAACACCTTGGACTATATATATGAATGCAAGCAGATGGTGGAAAGTATTTGGCAAGGTTTAGAGAAGTAAAAAAGAAGATGATGGATCAGGTAGATTGCTGACATCAAAGATATTATTGGAATGTCTTTGGAAGAGTTACAAGTTACTAGTAAAAATAATTCAGAATGGAAAATATTTCTTCATATAATTGACAGGAACTTGATAACAATTCACTACATTTCAGTAATTACTGTATAAATCTGATAGCATATTTTACTAACAACAGAACAAATAATTTGAGGATACCAGAAAATGTCTACTATTGTAATCATAAGGAATGTTATAAGCTATTGTGAAGCATAGAGCATGGCATAGTTTAAAATTAATCAGTGACTTCTTACAGAAATGATCACATTGTTAATTTGGTAAGCTACCTATAAAGCAAATCAATATGAAAAGTTACACAGATAACTGAATAAATATTTAGACAATTTTTTTCTTATCTCCAGAATTGAGCAAAACATCTTGAATAAGCTCCATTACTCAACGAATTTATTGCATGCTGCATTATTCTTTGCTAAGCAGGGAATCATTGAGCCAGCAGACAAAGGCAGATACAAATACTCTTCCTCATCCTCATCCTCATCATCATTTTTGCTTCCTTACTAATTAAACATTTTTCCTGGATCAGAATAAGAGCTACTGATAGCAGAAATAAAGAGCAAGTAGAATTTGTAGTGGGTGTATGATAAAATGTGTTATTGTATGTATTAATACATTTTAGAGTTTTTAAATCTATCTCTCTTTCAGTGGAAAAAAGAAATTTCATCAACAGTTATTGGGAAAGTAATGATTCAACCAGACTCAAATTTCACAGGACTCATTGCAGGCATTGTGGCAACAACATTTTTTCTCTTGCTGCTAGCATTTGGATTTCTCTTTTGGAGAAAAAAGAGAAAGCAAATCAAAGGTGATGATCATTAATACTTTTTACTGTATTTCAATAAAATATCTTTTTAGTTTCTGCAGTAATTCTTGCTCAGCTAACATATATTCCATGATGTAAGAGGGTTAACCAAATCCTCGCTTTTTAACAATGTTGAAGAAACTATAAATAATAAGGCTCTCTTTAGCAAATGAAAACTCTTCCCTAACAAACAGAAAGATTTTCAGAAAAAAATGTGCTCAATACTACTTTGTATCTGTCTCAGTGGTGGGCTGAGTGGTTCCGACCAGTGGCTGGCCCTGCCCACCTGCCCTGGCGCTATCACATCCTATATAATCTCCAGTTTTTCGATGCCGTGTGCATGGGTGGAAGACGCACACACTCACATTTTTTATTCCGGACAAACCGGTTGTTACAACCGGCAGCAACCCACCACTGATCTGTCTCCCCTACAAAAGATACAGGACAGATTACCTGAGCCTATACTGACTTTCTCAGGGAGGGAATTGGAACTGCTAATACAGATAGGCATGTGGATGGTGGTGTCAGCGCTGTATTCTTGGATCAATAAAAGCCTTTAACAAAAGCTCTTTAATAAATTTAGTAACCTTTGGATAAATTGACTCATGCTTTTATAGATTATTAATTGGTTAAAAAACCAAAAAAATAAAAAGTAGGAATAAGTGAGCACTATTCAGAATGGAGGGTAGAAAGAAGTACAGTTGCTGAAGGATTTATGTTCAGACGATTTAACTTTTGTGACCTTAAGTTGGGTGTAAACAGTTTCTTGGCCATGTTTGCAGATAATAAAAAATAAAATAGTAAAAACCAAAAGTAGCTGATCCTGTAGGAATTCTTCAATGGTCAAATTAATAGTAGAAGCAATTCTATTTTAGTACAATAAGTGTAGGATGAAGAAAAAGGATAGAAAAGGGCAATCCAAGTAACTAGACAGATCAAACCCCTAACCCTTTAGGAACTTTTTATCTTAGAAAAAAAGATTACAGAGGGAAGATAGGGTTGGTCCATACAACCATGAATGACACAGCAAGTCATGAATAGTAGTAGAGATGGTTCCCTGCACCCCCCCCAAAAAAAACACTACAAAAAGGAAGCATCCAATGAAGCTGATTGGAAGGCAATTTAAAACAAGAGGAAGCATTTGTTAATATAATCATAATGTATGAGTAATACAAGTAGACATCAGTCTGTGTAAATAATCCATCTGTGGAATTCATTGCTACATAATGTGATGCTCCTTAACCTAAATAACTATAAATTCATGGAGGACAGGTCTATTAAAGACTCTAGGTCTTGAAATAATTGTGATACATTTTTATATGTTCCGTTGACTGAGTTTCATGTTTAGTGAATAAAAGATAATAATAATTCCATTAGTTCCATTAAGAATAATGATAATGGAAACATGTTTTTTATAATATTGACATTCTTTCTTCTATGATAAGATTTAGGTGGAGAGATTGTTCGCTATGATGGCAGAGTACACACTCCTCATTTGGACAGGCTTGTGAGTGCAAGGAGTGTAAGCCCTACAACTGAATTAGTGTCAAGTGAATCTGTAGACTATAGATCAACTTTTTTGGAAGGTACAATATTACCATTTTTCTCATTAATAAATACAAAAGGATTGCCAAATGCTAAGCTACTATGTGGTTTCTATAATGAGATATATATCGGTACCTTTTCATTTGTCTTAGAAAGGTTTGTTGTATTAGGTAATGTGATTTTTGTTACCATACATAACACTGATAGCGATAAAAGAAAACAATCAAACTCAAAGAGCACTAAGCAACCCACTGTTGCATATTTCTGAAAGTCAGTAATATGCTGAATCTGTTATAAAACCAACAATCCTCCTGTTTGTCTTCATCAATATTATGATTTTCCCCTTTTAAGGATTTTAATATGCCACAATATCAAGATGCTGATGACAAGAATAGTGAACCAATTCTTGCTGTAATTTCTATGAGAATGCTACCTCAAACAACATTTTTCTGCAGGTTTTATGTAATTCAGATGTAATGTTTACAACTAGTTATTTAGCAGATTTCCATCATCATACAGCCTGAATCTGTGGCCCTCTCCTTGTTTCTTTTTTTCTTTTGCTTGCTAGTATATTGATGCTATCACAGTTGAAATTTTAATTTGTTCAATGGGCCCTTTCCTTATCTTTTTTTCCCAAGTTCACCAAATGTTCTCTTTTTTATATCCATTCTCTGTGAATGGCTTCAAATAATATATCTTCATAACCTAGTAAGAAGTTTATACAAAGAGTATTATAACTTACTCATGTAGCTTTCTCTCACACACTGGCCTTCAGAAATGCATGGAGTCAGTGGTGAGCTTGTGACCATCCACTATACTTGTACTCAGAGACTTTTGCAATTTGTGAAATTTTGGACTCCTCTTTTATGATCATGATCATACAAATCTCAGTATCAGCATCCTAATTTGTAGAGTGGCAGCAATGTGAACTGTCCATGTACTTGCAGGATGTCTTTAAAAAATTCCAAGTAATTCTAGGACATTATCCATCTTAAAGCTGCTTCAGAACACCATTTTTCTTAAATGTATGGAAAAAGAATAACACTTAAAACTAGTGCTGTTGAATACATGAAACAACATGTCAGGTTCAATAAAGCAAAAGCCAATCAAAGAAAAATATCTGTTGTAAATTGAGATACCTGACTTAAGATCATAAGTATATGTGCTAAACCTGATAATGCTTATTTCAGGGTGTAAAGCATTCAAAACATTGAGGCTGCAACCTCTTCCAGAGTCTTGGCAGGGCTGCTTCATTGATTTTTCCAAATGTTCTACTTGCCAGATAAAGTGGCTATCAATGCACAAACATGCAGTGACAAAGTATAAAAATCCTTAAGGTACTTGGACTGAGCACTGCATAGGAAGCAGTTGACTCAATGCTTCAAGAAGGTGCTTCACAAGTGAACTTGTTAAAGTGCTATGCACAGTGCTATTCATGCATCAGATCAGGCAGATCAATCATTTAGGCATACTATAAACCGTTCAGTATATGTATAAAAGTGGCCTTTCTCTCAAGTCTGGAACTGCTAGTCTATACCCTGTTTAAGTAAAAAATAAGATTAATATATGAGTCGCATATCCTGGTCTTATTTGAGCACAGATGGCTAAGAAAAGAATACTTTCTGTTTACAAGTATAAAGAAAATCTCAACATAGGTAAGAATGCTTTTATATCCTTGTAAGAAATGTTCACATTGTTTGGTGAACTATACTTCATACGAACTAAGCATTTCCTGACAGAATTATAATAGACCACTCTTTGGACTACAATTATGTCTGTACACACACACACACACACACACACACACACACACCAGGTGCAGCAAAATAAGCATAAATAGAATTCAGTCAATAACATTGAGAACAGTCTTCTCAGATGCAGGTATGTTCCAGATATATTAATTGCAACTTCCATAATTCTTAAAATTGAAGAACCACGTACTGTGAGCTGAAGGAGTTGAGAATTGGGAATTCAGGGGCCTAGATTGGAGAATGCTAATCTAAAAAATGAAGCAGTAATGATTTAGGTTTTGGATATCAAAAGTTATTACCTTTGAATTGTAAGAAGAAGTGGCATACCAATGTTAGTAAATTAAATAAATGAACAATACAATAAGTTAAATAAATACAAATTCAACAATTGGCATACTATTATGCTAGAGCACTTCCTGGTGCATTGTGTCTGCAGTAATAAAGTATCTACATCAGCTCTGGCAGGACAAGGTCTCATTTAAAGATTCTTCATTGTTTGCTGAGAAAGGGAAAGAGACCATACATTTCCTAGGCTTTGTCATTATCCATTTCCTTGGATTCAGAGTAACGAGAATGGTAGTGTTTCGTTTAGACACATTTTTATTCTGCTAACTTGTCTATGCAAATTCATGAAGACTGATGTCTGATCAACCCTGCACATTATGGTTCTTAAACGAAAATAGTAAATGCATTTACTGTACTTAAAAATGTTAAATAATAAAAATTCAGGAAATGAATAATAAAAGTCAATTTCCTTTTTGAATATTTACCTCTATATAGTTGTAGTAATTTGGAAAGTATTGTAGTAATTTGGAAAGTAGTAAGCAGATTTTAAACTGTTCATTAAATAATAATTTGAAAATAACCAATATCCTTTGTTATTTCTTTCTTCTCTTCACCAATGCGTAATGTCTGTTCCCCTAAGATTACTACAAATTCAGATGATTTTTGTTACAATTTTGAGCTTGGTTTAAAATACAAAATCGTTGGGAAATTCTACAAAAGAAAATGTGGTTTGCACCATGGCAATTCCAATTAAGGCAGTAGGACAGTATGTTTATGAGAGTTGGATGTCAATTAGTGTTTGAAACTAGTTTTATATAAATGGTATGAAGAAGATATTACCCCAACAAATGAAAGACAAATTATAGTATATAACAGTTTGCTTTTGCAAGCCATATTCTCTTGATCTATAAAGGCTTCTGATTCTGTTTCCAGGCTTAGCGCCACCATTTTAAATGAATCCTGTTAGTCAAATTTTCCTGTAGCATCATCATGAAAAGTTCTCTCTCAAGGGTATAGCTGCTGTGTCTCTCAAGTTGCAGATAAGATGGTTGCTGTTAGGATTACTGTTACTGTTTTAGCAATCATGTGTTACATTATGTAATAAGGTGAAAAATAAATTTTAAACTAAACAGATAAAATCGGGTCTTTCTGTGGCAGAATTTGCTATTGACAATGATGTTCACATTTTCTTATAGACCAGTTTCCAACTTTATCTCAGAATGGATCTTGCAGGCCAACCCAATATCCTCATGTGGACCTATCTCCCATTCTGTCTACTGGAGACTCCGATTTAGCTAGTCCATTGTTACAGACTAATGTTCACATTGACATCAATGCCTTAAATCCAGATCTGGTCAAAGAAGTTGAGCATGTTGTTATTGGTGCTGATAATATGATTGTTCACTTCAGTGAAGTAATAGGAAGAGGTAGGTGTCTCAAATGTATTTTAAATTTACACATTTAATTTCAAAAATTTGGCTTTATCCCTGCTTACGTTGGAATGCTGAATCATTCAATCTTATGCAATTTTATCTGAAAATAAATTCCATTGGGGACTTCCCAAAAAACCATTCAATGCATCAGACAGTATATCCAGCATCAGAAACTACTTATTTGCACACAGAAAAACTTCAAGAATTGTACTTCTAAGGTTAGGAAAGTCTGGTATTGTAAACGTCCAAAGGAAGATGCGCCAAGGGCCGGGTGATGGGTTTAGTAGTTTTAGATTTAGTATTTTTCTGTCCAGCAGAACTTTTGAAATATCAGAGCTATCAGTTGGGAAAATGATTGTTTTACCATTGTTTTATCATTTTTTGGCAGTGTCACTGCATTGTTCTAAGCAGCTCAGAATGATTTCTGAAAGAATCCAGGACAAACTTCTTTCCCTCAGCAATTGATCACACTCAAAATATAAAGACAGCTCCAGAAAAACCAGTAGAAATTTGACTTGTGATAATATTCTCTCTTTGTAGGGCATTTTGGATGTGTTTATCATGGAACTTTATTGGATACTGATGGCAAGAAAATTCATTGTGCTGTGAAATCCTTGAACAGTGAGTTTTACAATATTTTATTCTGAGTCATTATATTTTCACTGACTAAACTATATTATGATGATTATTTTTATCAAGTTAAGTGTCTTTGTGTAGCTTGCAGAAATTTTATTCCATACATTTTACAATGTCCATATGGAAGAATGCTCATATTTTCCGTCCACATAATAAATAAAAGATTAAAAGAAAGGGGGGGGAATGTGGTTTCATTTTACCATTGGACTAGCTTATGTTCAATTTTTATGAGTAAGACAGTTGGAAAACAGCAGGACTTAATTGACACAAACTATTAATAACATTCTTCTAGTTCGACAGATGGAGCATTTCTATATATTGTTACTAATATGTGAAAAAGGAAGAGAAAGGAGTTCTGGAACTATGTGTGCTAAAATTCGTTAAATACATTCCAGATAACACTGTTCCAGCTCATTTGCTTATAGATATGCAGCATCTAGCCCTGCAAATACCTGGATATAATTTCGAGAATACTTATCTAAATTTCAATGTGTTTTATTACAACTTCATTGGGATTATAAAGGAGTAATACTAAGGAGTTATATATGCTCCTTTCATTCAAAATGTGTTTAAAGTATAATAGAAATGATATGTATATTTATTAAAAATTTGTTGCTACATTTTTCAGGAATTACAGATTTGGATGAAGTAGCTCAATTCTTAAAAGAAGGAATTATAATGAAGGATTTCACTCATCCCAATGTCTTGTCACTACTTGGAATTTGCTTGCCTAATGAAGGTTCTCCTTTGGTGGTGCTTCCCTATATGAAACATGGAGATCTTCGGAACTTTATTAGAAATGAATCTCATGTATGTGTATCATGGGGTATTCAGTAGTGATCCAATTAGGCAATTATGTATTATTACAGTTCTGCTGTCTGAAAGTTTAAATTGATGGATCAGATACTACTTTGAAATGTGGTATTTTAATCAGAATTTAATGAAGTTGTATTACACATTTTAAGTAAAAATTGTTGAAAAGTACAGAAAAATTATCCAAATCAAAGGATTTATGTGTAGGGTTTATTTTATTTTATTTTTTATTTATTAATTTTTTATGCCACTCATCTCCCCTACAAAGTGTTTGGGCCTGGATGATCAGAATTCTTGTCTGGAGGAGTGTAAGGATTTCTGAATTTTTGTTCTTTAGTTTCTTGTACATTGCCTATAGATTTACTGTTGAAGTTGGAGAGAGATGGACTTACAAACATACGTTTTCAAAAATGTAGACAATTTTTTAAAAGCAATATGCCATATTCAGCCCTTAACATCTCCCAGTAAACTTGAGAGAACTCTGTAATCATTGAGACCTGCTGCAGTTGCTATCTGATCCTGGTAGTTTCCCATTTATCTTTGCCATAGGCAATTCTTTACAATTAAAATAAATAAATTATAAAAATTACAGTGCAAACATTTTGTTGTTTAAGTAAACTAATAATTAATGTTCATCCTACGTTTGAAAGAAACATTCCAATGGTTTAAGCTTTAGTTTTCACAGGTAGCTTTAGAATAGAATAGAGCTGGAAGGGACCTTGGAGGTCTTCTAGTCCAGCCCCCTCATGCAGAAGAACCTATACAATCTCAGACAAGTGACTGTCCAGTCTCTTCTTAAAAACCTCCAGTGATAGAGCGTCCACAATTTCTGAAGGCAAGCTGTTCCACTGGTTAATTGTCCTCACTGTTAGTAAGTTTCTCCTTAATTCCAGATTGCTTCTCTCTTTAGTTAGTTTCCAACCATTGTTTCTTTATTTTGCTTTATTAGTAATCTCTAAAAACTTGCTCTGCAAGTTAAGATAGCAAACTTATGCACGTTCAATATATTATGTATATAAAATCAGTGCATTCATAACATAACAAAACAAAAAACGTAGATAGGTTATCACATATTTCAACAGTTCTAGCAATCAATTAATTTCATCTAGATTTAGATGTATACATGCTATATAATCAAATAAATACTTAAATTTATTCCATATTTTGTTTCTTTGGTTACTAATAGTAACTTTAGGGTCAGGAAAACAATGTTTGGATGTAGAACCTTTCAATATTAAAGTGAAGACTAAGATTGATTTCATCAATTACTGTACAAATTTATAACTGAAAGTCATTCTTCACAGCATTGTTTTAACTACTAACACATCTATAATTTTCAGAATCCAACAGTGAAGGATCTGATTGGATTTGGTCTGCAAGTAGCAAAAGGGATGAAATACCTTGCAAGCAAAAAGTTTGTCCATAGGGATTTAGCAGCAAGAAATTGTATGTAAGTATGGGTTAATTTTTTTCTCATATTATTTTATAGCCAGTTTAGAATAGTGATTAAGGCACTATTATAAGATCTAAGTGCCCGAGCCCACTGTAACAACATTGCCAAAAAGGCATTAAGAATTGTTAACCTAAACTTGCATAGCTTCTTCTCTGGTAATGTTGTACTACTGACTAGAGCATACAAAACATTTGCTAAACCAATTCTTGAATACTGTCTGGCTCATCTGTCTGGAACCCACACTGCATATCGGACATAAATACAATCGAGAGAGTCCAGAGATATTTTACGAGAAGAGTCCTCCATTCCTCTACCCGCAATAAAATACCTTATGCCACTAGACTCCAAATTTTGGGCTTAGACAATTTAGAACTACGCCAACTTCAGTCTGACCTAAGCATAGTACATAAAATTATCTGCCACGATGTCCTTCCTGTCAATGACTACTTCAGCTTCAACCACAACCATACACGAGCAAATAATAGATACAAACTCAAGGTAAACCGTTCCAAACTCGATTGCAGAAAATATGACTTCAGTAACAGAGTGGTCAATGCCTGGAATGCACTACCTGGCTCTGTAGTTTCTTCCCCAAACCCCCAAAACTTTAACCTTAGACTGTCTACTGTTAACCTCACCCCATTCCTAAGAGGTCTGTAAGGGGCATACATAAGTGCATCAGTGTGCCTACCATCCCTGTCCTAATATTCCTTTTTACTTACTCTTTTCCTGTATTCAAATTATGTTTATACTTTTACCCGTTATCTTATATATGCTTGACAAAATAAAATAAAATAAACGATAGAAGCCAGGCGATTGTTTATTTTAGTCTCACTTTAGTAATGACTTAGTAATCACTAAGCCAGCTGAGTGATTTTGAGCCAGTTTCTCTCAGCTCAACTCACCTCATGGGGCAGTTCACTGCCTTGAGTTATTTATTTTAAAAAATAAAGGTGGGATAAAAATAAATAGTGGCATTTAGGGAAAAAAGATCATTCCATTTATACTATTTTATTTATTTCTGTCTAACTTTTTAATATGAAACTTAGAACTTTATCTATAATGTTCCTATAGATAAGTGTTTCTCAGTTTTTGCAACTTTTAAGATGTGTGTACTTTAGCTCTCAGAATTCTCCAGTGAGCATGTCTTAAAGATTTTTAATCTTAAAAGTTATCAAGACAGAGAAACATTGCTACAGATGTTTACAACTGCTGAATATCGCTCAGTTGCATCACTTATGTGGTATAGCAAACACCATTACATTCAATTTTGCTTACTCTTAAGAATACAGAGAATTGGAATGCTAAAGGGCTTTTTCTTTCTATGCAGGCTTCTGAGGTTGAAATTGTTCTGCTTTGAGGAGCATCCTTTCAATGAATCAATGTTCAGTGTTGGTTTTCTCTGAGAAGGCAATATTTCCATGTTTTCTGTTGCATTTTTACAGGTTTCCTTTGTTCCTGAAATATCATTCGATTATATCACAATAACATGCTTAATGTTAACATACCTACATACCCATGATGTTATTTTCTTTCAAGATAAGCAATATTTTGAAAAGCACAGAAATAGAGTAAGCCAAAGAAAATGAAATAAATAAATAAGAGAAAAGATTAAACAAACAAAATCTAATTTGCATCAACTCTTTGATACCAATTTCCTCTTACACCTTTTTTTCTTCATTCCATCATGCCCATTCCAATTCATATAGTTCCTTTTCTTCTTTAAACATCTTGCCTCTTTTTTTTTTTTTTTGAATCTTGTAATCTCTATCCATTTCCTCCTTTTTTTTCCATATGATTTTTCATTGGTTTTTCAAAATACAAAGAAAAATTTTAAAAGTCATGGAAAACTAAGAAGCGGGTGAGGGAAAAGAAAAGAAATATAGTGTAAAGGAAGAAAAGGAAAGAAAAAGGCACCAAAATCTGGCTCTCTTTAGCACAGTAGAAGATAACATTACAACGACAACTTTTTGCTTTTACACAACAGTATGTACAAACCATTTCTATAACAATAAGCCTATCTAGTTAACAAAAACAAAATTTCATATTTTTTTCATTGCAAGCACAAAATCCGGAAGCAATTTCAGAATAGAAACAAGGTTAGATATATTCTCTTCGTTGGATAAAAGAATCAATTTGACCATCTCTACTTCTCTTTGCCGTGGGCAGAAATATATGTTTCTGTTAACTCATTAATCTTTATCATAATTTATATTAAGAAAATCCTCTATATTATTTCAATTTTTTAACCCTAAAGAGAGAAAACACTTTTTTTAGTTTTGGTATTTTACACTTTAAAAAGTAATCAAGTATTACATATATAAAGCAGAAAAAAAAAACCCAATTAGCTCATTGAATTTTAATCTCTCCGTCGAGTTTATCCTCATGGAATGGATCTTTTTCTTCTCTTATTTTCAAATTTAGTCTATAGTATTTTAAAAACTTTGGGAATTGTACAAGATTTTATATGTACAAAACCAGCTTAAAGCTTCCTTTCAGTATATATATATCAAATATATATTTCGCTGATAAAGAAATAAAGGGAGACTAGTATAGATCTATTTCAAGCTATTTAGCTCTCATCAGCTAGCCATACCCTTAGTTGGATTCAAACTTGGGCTGCCTGCATGTATGGCTAGCTGATGAGAGCTAAATAGCTTGAAATAGATCTATACTAGTCTCCCTTTATTTCTTTATCAGCGAAATATAAATTTGGTATAAAATAGTTTGTCGTGAATGCAACTGCTTGACTCCTGGATTGGAGCTGAAAGGCGAAAGGGATGCAGTACGCTCCCTCCCACATGCTGGGGTAGACCAGGTGTCTCGATAGAAAACACTTTATATATATATTAGTTAGTATCCATGAGGAAAAACTCCAAAACTTGACCTCTTGAGATTTGTGAATTTACTTGGCACTCTTGTTTCAGTTGCACTGGGAGGGTTGTATTCAAACCATCAGCATAAAAAAAAAGCTGATACCAGATTTATATTCCAAAGGTACAGTTAGGTTATTTGCATTGTCCAGCTTTTGTAGTGTTGACACAGCGGGTTGATAATTTTCTACACCTAATTGTATCTTTTGTTCTTTTTTAATATCCTCTGTATAATTAATATCTTCTAACTGATTTATGAAAAGAGCAATTATCTGTATGGTCTTTTCAAAGATTCCCTTGACGACAGACTCCAGCTCAGAGTTAAATATCTCTTAGCTCCCTCTGGTGGTCAGAAATGTTACTTATTTATTTCTTTATTTTTTCCTTTTTCTAGCCAATCAGAGTTCATGAAAATCAGCAAATTTCAACCACCCATAAAAAAACATTACAGGGCTACAGATTATTTTAAAAGTAGTAAATTAAGACCACAACTTTTATCCTTATATTCCAAGTGATACTCCACACTTCCTTATTTTGGCTGCCTCTAGCAACCTTCTTCCTTGTCGTTTAACAATAAAGAAGTCTCAAAAATGGTGTTCAGAACTTCAAAAAAGAATGATAGGCTGTAACTAAAGAAAGGCTGTTAACTCTTTTAACTAATAGAGATAATAGTCTCATAAACTGATTAAGAAATGAAGGACACAGCTTATGTTCCATTTGAAAAATAAATTCCAAAATAGCTGCTTTATTCAACAATGATGTGATTCAACCCCGCCCCACCCCTTCATCCCACCAACTATTCTGAAGCACAGCTTCTGACACTGCTTGCAATTTTAGAACAAGTTATTTGTTCCTCACGTTTTCTGACATTTGCTGTCAGAATAAGAATTTTTACTCCAAGCAAAAGTTGTGGGGAAAAAAATCTTGTTGGTATCAGGATAACCAGACAGATTACTTTGCATAATTATTCAGTAATCCAAGAGAAGTGAGAATCATTATGCCAATTCATCATTCGCATTATGAATAATGAGCTTAGCATCAACTGGTCATAATTATCCACAATTAAAACTTAATCTTATTATACTAATTATCAATTATAACTTAAAATTATCTCATCATGTGAAATTTAAGTTATATTACTATAAAGTTATGGCTACCCATTTGAAAAGAATTGTGCGGCCGATTAATAATGTCAATTATTAAATAAGTCAGCAAAGTTGCTATCAACTATATGTAATGAATGTGAGTAATTTAATATTTTGATTACTTTTGAAAGTGGTTATTTAGACTTATCTGGCCATACTTATGTTACATGAAAGTGGAAAAATCAGGCCGTACAAGTCTCTTTCCACCCCATGTCAATTCTTTTATTGCATTATAAAATATGAATAATACATTATAGAATAGAGATAATACAGGTAGACCTTGACTTATAACAGTTCATTTAGTGACCATTTGAAGTTACAGTGGGACTGAAAAAAGTGACTTAGAACCATTTTTCACACAACCGTTGCAGCATCCCCATGGTCACATGATCAGTATTCAGATTCTTGGCAACTGGCTCATATTTATGACAGTTGTAGTATCCCAGCCGTGTGATCACCTTTTGTAACCTAACAAGCAAGCAAAATGAATTGGGAAACCTGATTCACTTAACAACTGTGTTACTAACATATCAACTACAGTGATTCATTTAAAAAAGGGCCTGGTGGCTCAGCAGACTAAAAGCATTGTGATTAACACCAGCTGTCTGCAATTACTGTAAGTTCGAATCTCACCAGGCTCAAGGTTGACTCAGTCTTCCATCCTTTCTAAGGTAGGTAAAATGAGGACCCAGTTTGGGGGGGCAATAAGCTGACTTTGTATAAATATACAAAAGTATGAAGGCTATTGCTTAACGCATTGTAAGCCTCCCTGAGTCTCCGGAGAAGGGCGGCATATAAATCAAATTAAAAAAAAAAACTGTGTCAAGAAAGGTCACAAAATGGGGAAAATTCACTTAACAAATGTCTCATTTAGCAACAGAAATGTTGGGTTCAATTGTGGTTGTGAGTTGAGGACTACCTGTAAAAGAGTACAGATGTATTTATACAAAAATCAGGCTTAGGCCGTCAACATTTCAAGTAGAAGAAAATACAGTATAGAAAATAAGTAGGAGCTACTTTATTAAGGTAGGGTCAAATCTAGTTATTTGCTGGCATTCAATTCAACCCAGTTTCTATGCTGTAATATAAATGGTCCTTATTCAATGACCACTTTTTCAAACTTATAATTACACTGAATGAGTGGTAGTTATTACTAGACCTTCTACTTATGGCCATTGCAGCATCCCTGCAATTTATGACCTGCCAGCTTCTCACAAGCAGAGTTAATGGAGAAACAATCAGAAGTCAGGATCACATGAGATCCTCATTTAATGACCTGCATGGTCCTCATTAGTGATGACCATCACTAAATGGATTGGCCATGTGGTTTTTCAATTTACAATTATGTGACTTAACAACAGAGTCTCCAGTTCTAATTCACCATGTGGAATGAGGACTACCTATATTTAATAACCACTCTCTCTTCTAATACTAGTCTTGCATTTCAGTCAAGCTATTCCAGATTAGCTCTACCTATATAAAAAGAGATAGGATATAAGATAATAAAGAGAACCAGTTTATAAAGGTAGCAGATTAGGAAGTAATCCAACACTCCAAAATGAACAAGATTTGTAGGATCCAATCTGGGTCGGTCATCAAGACCAGAGGTTTAGTGCTGGAGCCCATCCTCAGGAAACTTCTCTCTACAGAATGTGTGCTTTGGGCTATGCCAGCATTTATGTGGTGCCTAGTTGTGTGTGGTTTTTTATTTGTTGATTGGGGTGTTGATAGCTGCTATTAAATTGTTGGCTGTAATAGCTGGCCATCAACACCCCAAGCAACAAATAAAAAGTCACACACCACGTACCACGTAAATACTAGCACAGAATAGGCCAAAGCTCACATTCCTTAGTTCCCTGAGGATGAGCTCCAGCATGAGTCCAAAAGTTTGGAAAACTAAACCTTTGGTGCAGGTGACTAACCCAGACTGGATCCTGCAACATTTCCTTGGAACACGTATAGTTGCCTTCATTTGTGACATAGATTTATTAAAAATTTGTCATCAGCTAGCCAAAGAAAATGGTGAAGATTGGACTCTAGTGTATTTATAATTGTATTCTCTCTTCTGATGAAATCCTCCCTTAGCCTATTTTTGAAGAACATAGATATCTGTAAGTAAACAATTGGTTGTTTACAAGCAACATTACGTTCAGGAAGGAATGGATGACTGTAAATGGAATATTTGTTTATATTAATCATAAGTGTAACCTGACTACACAAATGTAAATTCTGTCTTAGTTCCAAATAATATTTTATGTTTGTGCGTGTATTGTTTTTGTAGGCTGGATGAAAATTTCATAGTCAAGGTTGCTGATTTTGGACTTGCGAGAGATGTATATGATAAGGAGTACTACAGTGTACACAATAAAACAGGAGCAAAATTGCCAGTAAAATGGATGGCTTTAGAAAGTTTGCAAACCCAGAAATTCACTACAAAGTCAGATGTGGTAATATATTTATCATTATATGGGACTTGCTGATTATATTTCAACAGATTATTGGACATATCAAAGGAAAAGAATTATATAATAGATTAACGCAAGGGGGAAAACACCTTAAACCAAAACTAGCCTGTTTCTTAATTTGCAAAAGTTAATGGGTATTTTTGTGTCCGTATTTCAGATGACCTACAACTAAGAAAGTTTCCAATCTTAAAATACTAAGTTTGAATGATTGCTATGAAAAGCTTGATGGTGCTGACCGGATTTTGAAACTGTGCCCTTAATATATGAGTTAACAACTGCTCTCCAGTTGAGAGCAATATCATACTTCCTATAAGAGATTTAGAATCACGTAACAATGTGTGCTGGATCTGGGTTTGGGAATGAATAGGTGGGACATTATCTTTCAGCCTTAAAGGATTCAAATGTAAGTGTTAAGTATCTGCTGGGTTATTTTGCTCTTAAGCTTTCCAGGTGTTCCAAATTGGCCATTTACTCTGATGGTCACAAAACAGAAGTTGGTGGGCCCTACTTTTTGCTTCCCTGGTTCATTTTCATCAATTCCGTTTTTCATAAGACTTAACCATTCTAAGCTATTTGTATGTTTGATAGATAAATGCATATTTTCTTCATCAATTCCATACAACATTTTTCCAACAGGCTGTGCTTTATTCTTAGAAACCCCCTTTCCCCGTGAATTTTTATTTTGTTCTGGAGATTAATTTCTTATTAGGCCTTTGTTAGCTTGCGGCCATTAATGCAAAAATTACAAAAGATTACTTCTGTTTAGCATGGAAGAAATCCCAGATTCAATTATTATTTTTCCCCATAAAAAAAAAAAAGTTAGGTAAAGAAAATTTGTCAAAATAGAGAATATTGGACTAGATGACTGGCAATTTTGTTGATGCAAGCCATCAGCTTGAGGTAGTCACCTGGTTATGCACAGCATATCAAGGATAGAAGGACCAAGAAAAATTCAGAGAAAGCATTTTAAAGGGGTTTAATGACCACCTTACAACCCTCCAAGACTTAAGACTTGCCTCTTACTTCTGTTCTCCTAAATTGCAAAAATGCAACAGCAGAGCAAAATTTTTGGCCTTGTCTTCTTGATGATGTGATATTTAGTTATGAATGCTTGTGGCTTTCTTTCACAGCCTTATGATTTGATGTTTATGTTCTTTTTGTTAGTGGTCCTTTGGTGTTTTACTTTGGGAGCTGATGACAAGAGGCGCACCTCCTTATCCTGATATCAGCTCTTTTGATATTACCGTTTACTTACTGCAAGGAAGGAGGCTCTTGCAGCCTGAATATTGTCCTGATCCACTGTAAGTACCTTCTAGAAATCTTGAAAAACCATGTTATTAAATGTAATAGATTAAAAATCATTTTTCTGCTTTTTCATTGCAGATACGAAGTCATGCTCAAATGCTGGCATCCAAAGCCTGAACTACGGCCAGCCTTTTCTGAGCTAGTTTCAGATATATCCATGATCTTCTCCACTTTTATTGGGGAACATTATGTTCATGTGAATGCCACCTACGTCAACGTGAAATGTGTCACACCATATCCGTCTCTGCTGTCATCACAAGATAATATAGATAGAAATGCAGATACATGATGAAGTTCATTAAACTGTGCTAAAGGGGAAAGGGCATAAATAATGGCCAACTACTTTTTAAGTGTTTTTCTGTGTGTGAAACCACTGCATATGTGTATATGTTGTTAAAATTGCACTATTTTGAGGAGGCAATTCAAGTTGCTGAAATCTACAAGGTAAATGTATTGTTCAGATATAATTTTCATGTGAGATGGGCAATTGCAGTAATTACACTGCAGTGGAAATTCTTCATCTACTGCCAGATATCACTCACTGTGAGCAGTCTAGCTACTGTTATACTGTTATTGATTTACAACAGTTCGCTTAGTGACTCTTCAAAATTACCTCGGCACTAAAAAAAAGTAATTTATGACCATTTTCCCACTTATGACTATTGTAGCATCCCCTTGGTCATGTGATTGATATTCAGATGCTTGACAACTGACTCACATTTATGACAGTTGCTGTGTCCCAGAGTCACATGATTACCTTTTGCAACATTCTGACAAGCAAAATCAATGGGGAAATCAGATTCACTTAACAATTATGTTACTAATTTAACAATTGTAGTGATTCACTTAACAACTGTGGCAAGTCATAAAATGGGGCAAAACTCACTTAACAAAGTTCTCACTTAGCAACATAAATTTTGGGTTTAATTGTGCTCATAAGTTGAGGACCACCTATACTCTGCAGAACTGATGTTTCAGAAATTTCTCAGTTACTCATAATACAAGATACTGAGAGTTGATATTATTAGTCAAGTGCTTTTCACTGAATAAGGGCCAAACTAAATAAATATTCTAACATTCAAAGATTTTACTTCACTGTTGATGTTTATTTGATATAGCAGTTTATATTACTATATAAGTAGCCCAGATCTAATGGACATTAATCAGATTGTCCGAGCTATCACTACACAGATTTTTAAAATAATTTTGGAATACTGATGGCAATACAACAGATTATTATGTCATATTGCGGATGTACCAGCCACAAACAGAGCATAATGAATATTTAAAGAAAATGTTTCTGTACTACGACAAGAATGAAATCTGTCAGAAATTCCTTTACTCAGTAGGCTGAAGAGTATGTTAGCTATGTGGACAAAATTCCACAGGAGGATACTGAACTGTGCAGGGAAACAGTAAAGGTTTAGTAAAAGTGTCTGTGTGAAAAATTCAACAGAAAAAAAGTGAAGAGCTTGAATCAAGATGCTAGCCTATTCAGTCAAAGGGAGCGCATCTTTACATTACTGCTGCTAAATTCAGCTCATCACATTTAAACAAGTTTTTATTAAAAAATGAAATAAAAATCCTGCAAATATAGATCACAGCTGCTTGATTTTGTCAACTGGTTCTTAAGATTTTGACATGACATAAGCCTTCCTGATGACCAAAATATTTTTTAAAAGCGTATTTTTTTTAAAAAAAGGTTAACTTTTGACTGAACATCATACTGGTTTCTGTTCCTGTGGAATCCTGTGCATTCTACTGTATAGACTATTTGATGTAGAATCAACAGATAGGTGAGGAATGTTGGTGTGTGTATGTGTGTAAACTTTCAAATCATTCTATTTTTATACTGATTTTTAATTAATTTTATAGATAGGTGTATAGATAAATTCTTGGCTAGGGTATAAAATATTGCACTGTGAACACTTCAGAAATATTTTATCACAGCTTTTAATATTTATAAAGTTGTTTAAAAACTCTAATCCTGTAAAGACTGGAAAGCCAAGAACTGTTGCAAGCCACTTGTAACCCAAGTGTTTAATCTCCTTTTCTGGAATCAGACATATTTTGATATCTTTGAGGAGACAGTACTTATAAAGAAGCCAATTACAGGGAAGATTTATTGTTCCACAGAAAGGATACCACACTAAAAGATTTATGATGAGATTGGAGTGGTAAGCAAACTACTTGCTGATAATACTGGATTATATTGAACTGCCACATCCATTTCAGTAGCAAATACTTCATGTCTGCTGAGAAAGCAATATTACCTGTAAAAGGCCTTAGCACAAAAACATAATTCTCCTTCAGGCAAAGAGAAAAAAAATGCTTGAAGGTTAAGGCAAATTATTATACCATAGTTTAATATTGATAATATAAACCTACATACACAAGGAATGCAGGGTGCAGGGATGAAATATTGTAATATTTATGTGATAAAATTAATGCCATGTCTGGGACTCCTGTAAATAATGTTCAATTGTTGTAGGGATTTGATGTTTTACATTCATATACTTGCCAATCGGATAAATGGTACTTGCCTTTTTAATTGTGATACCTAATAAAAAATAAAACATTTGTATATTGGCAATTTGTGAAGTTATGTCTGTATCTATAATAGGTACATATATGTAAATGTAGTTGATTATGTCAAGACTTGAATTTACTTGAAAAAGAAAGAAGTATAGACAAGATACAGTTTTACATGATTTTTACCTCTTAGCTGTTGTGTTGTGATTGAAGCAAAAAGTAACGAAGGTGGCCAGCGCTAGGACACATCCATCATGTGGCTATCGACATATTGGTTGAGTTAAGATTATAGAATTCCATGCTATGATATTAAGGTTGCAACCATATGATTGATGCGGATTAAGTGCCATCAAGTCCTTGTCAACTCTTAGTGCATACATATTTTTCTTCTTGATGATCTGTCATATCTGTCCTGGTGTTTCAACTCTTCTAATAGTGCCCTTATCACTATTGTAACTTTGCTCCACCTTTCCAGCCTTCTCCCAGGAATTGTTTTCAGATAAAATGTCCATATAATGCATATATAGATATAATTGCATAATTGTAACCATAAAATAATTATGTTTTATCACACTGCATGAAATTATATAGAAATTCCAAATGCACTTTTAAAACATTTTCTTAATTGCATGTAAATTGCAGGTTAATTGCATGTAAAATTTGCTTTAGAAAGTGAAAAACATGAAGAACATGCCTCTATAGCTCACAGAAGCCAAGAAGCAAATGCTCTTCAAATGTGTTAGATGACAACTCCTGTCATCACCAATCATCACAGCCAATCCCCATTATCTAGGAATAAAGGTGACTGCACAACAGGTCACCTAGAAAACATAGAGAGACTAACCTAATTGATCAAAATTACTTTGTGTTTAACTTTTTTATGCTTTAAATTAGAACTGAAGGTCAATAGTGACATAATCAGGCAATCTAGAATAATACACATTTTGCTATTGATAAATTTACGAAGATCAATTTTCTACACTAAAAAAAATTTTTTTTAGAGGCTTTATATTTAAAAAATGTGGGAGAACTTCTTAAATTGGTGTTTCAGGATAGAATGCAAATGAAACTTCACTCCAGCTCATAGAAAACTTTTAATAGCTTTGATCTGTTAATTCCGTCCCCATTAAGAAACAAAACATTGCTTTGGTGATTAAAAGTTTTGGTACTGTAGAAATAATTGCAAGTAATTTCTGCATCACAGCATATAATTCTGTGAGCCACCCAGAGTCACATATGTGAGATGAGTGGTTATGTAAATTGAACGAATAAATAAATAGTCTTGTCTTGATTTCCTTGCAAGTAGAGGCATACACAATTAGATGACAACTTCAGCTGATCTTGTCCTGGAACCTAAGCAAGGTCAGGAGGCCTTAGACTAGATCAGGGGTATCAAAGCCGCAGCATTGCAGCGACGTCACAGGATGTATTGAGACTTTTTTCCCCTTTGCTAAACCAGGCATGAGCATGGCCAGCGTGTGACGCATCCAGCCCATGAGCCAGGAGTTTGACAGCCCTGGACTAGATGGCAGAAAACATCTCAAAAAATGGCAAGATAGAAAGCCTATTATTTAATATTACAGTGCCCTGGAAGTCTCCCAAGAATTGAGTTTGTTGACTCAAGACTTTTATAGATAGATGGATAAGAAGAAAGTAAAGAAAACCTGGAAATATGCAAGAAGTGTCCCTAGGCAAAGGGACTGAAACATTCCAGAACAAAGAAAACATTCAAAAGAAACTCAGAAAGACACTGATTTATTAGGTATAAAAAGGGGGAGACAACACACCCAGACTTGCAAGATTCTGCTATCGTCCACCTCAGTAAAAAACAATTTTAGCCTGTCTGTGAAATCGAGTTCTTGGTCTGGGCTATCTAGTGGGGCTGATAATAATGCACTTTAAATTAAATGTGATAATAAAATGTTATAAGGGAAAGTAACTGATAATGTATAATATTTTCTTGCATCTTAACAAAATACCATCAACAGTAACATTCTTGCCTTACCAATTAAGATTAAAAACAGAGTGCTAAATCATATTTTGACTTCCCAAATTATTCTGTAAGTATGACTGGCAAAGGCCCAAAAGACATTTAGTAACTGATGACAACATGGGCATGTGTAATAGCCCAGACTTTTCTTTTCACTAGGCAAGTTAGCAAACAACAGCATATGATACAACATGTATCATTAGAGGCTCTTTACAGAACAGTCAGTTTACAACTTGCATATCTTTATCTCCATGTGTATGAGAAATATCCTCACCATGATGTTGACAGCGAAACTGCACAATATATACTTGACAGACCTGTGAAGCAATATTATTATAATACTAAACACACTTTCAAGAAAAGATTTAATAAAACAAGACAAAGTGCTGTTAAGCATGGCTAACTTATGATATTATTTAGGATGGTATGCAGTCTGGATGAGTTCATGCATTGATTATGGTATAGCACATAATGTGGGAGCTCAAGCAATTCTAAGCTATTATGTGATTTTTATGCTTTTTACTGAAGAATTCAAACATTCAGAAAACTTGATTACATACAATAAAGCCAAAATAGAAATGATTCTACATTAGGATTTTCCATGCTAACTAAATTATTAATACCAAAGAAAACAAGAAATTAACTACTGTTAATTCCTATGTAATTTAGTAGTCTGGTTAAACTTCAGATCATTGTAGCAAAATGACGTATATTCATTTTGTTAATGCAGAATCTTCGGTTTACTCCTTGAAGTATGCATAGAATGGAGAATGGTTTATTTAAACTCAAAATATTGCATATTGGAAGTTCTAACTATTTGTTTTTGGAGCTGGCCATACGAAAAGAAGCAAAAACAGAATTATTTGCCAATTCTATCCTTTAGCAAAAACAACCCTAAAATATTTTTGGGTGGATTGACCTTGGGGAAATAGTGGGATCCTATCTGTCTATTGTGCAATAAAAATCTGGAAATCACAGAAAAGTCTATAAACATTTTAGCATAGCAAGAGACGGGCTGGCTCTATGCTTTTCAATCAAACCTTTTCAAGATGCGTCACTCTGGACAGAGGATTGTATTGACTCCTGTAAAGGGGGTTATTTTAAGAATGTGTTTGAAATAAACCTCTTCAAAATTTATGTTGTCTATATGTAAACTTAATTTTGCAAATCATCAAATAGACTGTCCATCTCAATATTTAATGGATTTTCCATTTTTTCTAGCTAATCATAATAAAAAACCATGAATTTCCTACTTGGTGGAAGGAAGAAGGAAGGAGGAAAGCTGTTCTTCCAAGAGAAAGACTTCACTTGCAGCAAAAACACACTAGTGTTTTTGAGGATGGCACATTCACTGCAGAGGCAGCCTGAATTTCAAATCATAAAGAAAAGGCGCTAGAGTATGAAGATGAATAAACAATGAAGTGAACAATATCATGAACCAGGCAACATGCTTATTTTTTTAAATACACTCAAAAAGCAAAGTCTCTGATAGCCAATCCAATCAAGTAAGCTATCAACATGAGTTTTGTGGGAATAAGGACTGTTAGGAAAGGATGACGATGGGTTTAGTTGTGCATTCACTGTTTTGTCCAGCTGAATGTGGAGTTTTCAAAATACCTTTGACTATGAAGACACTCACTGCATAGGTAAAAATCTGAATCTTAACATCAATGTTAACATCAAGAAGAGCCTTGGTGGCGCAGCAGACTAAAGTGCTGTTAAGTAGCACCAGCTGCCTGCAATTACTGCAAGTTCAAATCTCACCAGGCTCAAGGTTGACTCAGCCTTCCATCCTTTCGAGGTAGGTAAAATGACCCGGATTATGGGGGCAATAAACTGGCTTTGTATAAAAAAGAACACTGCTTAGGGGGGGCCGAAAGTCCAACTAAGCAGGTATATACAAAAATATGAAGGCTATTGCTTAACGCATTGTAAGCCACCCTGAGTCTCCGGAGAAGGGCCGCATATAAATCGAACAAATAAATAAATAAATGGACTCTACATGCACAAAGAATATACATATACTTATCATCAGGCTAATCAATCCAACGTGTATTAACAATTGCATTTATAGTATTTCTATATGGAATGCTAGTGAGTGGGGACATCCTGAAGGCTCAGGGATCAGATTAAGTGGAGCCCAAACTTGTGCTGATTTGTTTTCATACTGTTGGAAATAATCAGCAACATTACAGTTCTTGCCCAAAACACAATTGGTTGCATTCTGGTTGTCAGTTTGGCTTATCTTGTTACTGAGCCCTTCAGATCAAGATCATCTTGCTCAATAGTTTGAAGTAATCTAGCTCATGCCAGGAACCATACGTGATGGATTGCTCTTTTGTAATGAAAGATAAGAATCATTGAAATGGAAGAAACAGTTTGGATTTTGAAAGTGATGAACAATTTGAAAAATGCAGGGACTTTTTCCACTAGCCCACAAGCATTTACCAATCAAGAAAGATGCATTCTTGCCTCTGTTGCCCCACAAATCCTGCTATGCTGCCTCATTTTGATAGATGATGGGTGTTCCCAAGAGAAATAAGTGAAAAATGCGGGGAGTATAACATTCTAGCATAAGAAGGGAAGGTCATCCCAACTGCCCAACTAAAGCAAGCAGGCACCTTCATTTGATAGATGCTTTAGTGAGAAACAGCTTTAGTGATAATAACAAAGACATGATTTCAGAGACTTCAATGGTAACCTATTCCTTTGTTTTAACTAAGAAAACCACATGGATAAACAATTAGAAGTGATCACAACACAGTACTACATGATGGTCAGATGGCACTCAACATGCTGCTAAGGAAGAGCTGAGGATCTTTCAAATCCTGCTACTTCCTCCAGTCTCCCTGCATTCACTCTGCCTATCCACAGCATCCTACCACACTCCTTACCTGGAACTCCTGCTGCTAATCACTTAACAGTTCATGCATCTTGTAGGATGATAGCAACCAGGACTGCTAGGATTGTTGCTAAATGATGAGATGACGTGACATCACACTTTACCATGGCATCACTTAATGATGCCAATCCCAGTCTCAATTTCTGTTCTAACCCAAGGACTACCATAA